TGCTTCGAAACCCACGCTCCATCATAGGAACCTCAGCCCGAGCAAGAGTGTGACAGCAAAGATGAAAGAACGTGTGGCACCAGGAAACTATCAACAAAGAAGCTGATTTCAAATCCTGCTGAATTAACAAAGGAAGATTTCTTTTTTACATTGGTTTGGCTATCTATTTTCATGAATTACTTACTCTGCATGTGTAATCATACAGAACCATACAATGGCTCAATAAAAGTCATGATCATGCCTATCAGTAAATTGGTCTGATGCAACTGGTTCCATTACCAAACTTGTCTTTGAAATTCAAGTTATTGATATAGTACTGCTGTGTGCTCATGAATTAGGTAAAATCAGGGGAGTCTGACTTAGTTGCACCTTTCAAGGACTAAACTAATCCTCGTGCCTTTGCTTAATTTATTCTCTTTTGCCTGATATGAATTATGACCTCACCCACTTCCGTTACTGTAAATCCAACTTTTATCTGTCCTTCTTAAAGCTTTACCTCCTGGTCTCTTCATCTTCCAACAACAAAAAACAAGCTGAAGGCTATTTTTTACTCCCTTGATTTTATTAGATTTTCAGACTCCTCTGGCATTTATCACATTCTCTCTCATAGTGTTTATTATAGCATGTCTTTATTTCCTATATCAGACTCTAAGCTATTTGCCATTACTCTAGGTATTTGCCATTTTAATTATGATGGGTCCTGGTGTGGGCCTCTTTGAGTTCATCTTGTTTGGGACTCAGCACTTCCTGGACTTGTGTGTCTTTTTCCTTCACTAGGTTAGGGAAGTTTTCAGTCATTAGTTCTTCAAATAGGTTTTTGATCCCTTGCTCTCTTTCTCCTCCTTATGGTACCCTGTGATGCAGATATGCTACACCTCACGTCGTCCCAAAGGTCCCTTAAGCTATCCTCATTTTTTGACATTCTTTTTCTCACCTTCTCCAGGTGGCTCAGTTGGTTGGAGCATCACCCTGTACACCAAAAGATTGTAGGTTCGATTCCCGGTCAGGGTACATACCTAGATTGCAAGTTCAATACCTGGATGGGGCACGTACGGGAGGCAATGGATTTATTTCTCTCCCCCTGCTTCCTCTCTCTAAAATCAATAAAACATATCCTCAGATAAGAATTAAACAATATTTTTCTTTTTGATGTTCTGATTGTTTTCTGCTACCTTGTCTTCCAAATCACTGATTCTATCCTCTGCTTCATTCAATCTACTGTTTTATTTCTTCTGGCGAATTCTTCACTTCAAATATTATATTCTTCATTTCTGACTGATCCATTTCTATGTCCTATTTTTATGCTGTTGTAGTTCTAAGTTCCTTGAATATCCTTATGACCATTTTTTTAACTCTGTATCTAATAAGTTGCTTGTCTCCTTTTCATTTAGCTCTTTCTCCAGAGATTTTTTTCTCTTCTTTCATTTGGAACATGTTTCTTTGTCTCACTATTTTGGCTGCCTCTTTATGTTTGTTTCTATGTATTAGGTAGATCTGCTATGCCTCCCAGTCTTGGTAGGGTGGCCTTATGTAGTAGGTGTCCTATATGACCCAATGGCGTAGTTTCCTGATCACCTGGGCTGAGTGCTCCACCAATGTCCCTCATGTGGGTTATGTGGGCCCTCTTGTTGTAATTGAGTCTTGATTGCTCTTGACTCATTTGTGTGTGGGGTCAACCCTCAGGCTGGCTGGCTGTGAAGATAAGCCCTGCCCACAGGGTACGAGCTACTGTGCAGGTGGTGCTGACCACATGAAGTAGAATTTGCCTCAGCAGGGTCTGGGGCCGGCCGAGATCTCCCTTCGGATATGCCACTTGTGAAGCTAATTGCATCCTGGTCTGAAGCTGGCCACTGGGTGTGTTGGTTCTTGGGCCCCTTGGGAGGGACTCTGGTGCAGCCCAAGGTCAGATCCTGCCTGTGACTGGCTCTCGGCAGCCTGTTTGGAGCTACAAAGTGATTCAGTTTGTGGCTGCCTCTGCTGGGCCTGGGTGTGTGTGGGAAGGACCAGGCTGTGCACCAAGGCTGGCTTTTACCTGCACCGGGCCCAGAAGCAGGTCAGCTGAAGTTCCAAGGCACCCCAAGATCTGCCTCTGCCTGCTGGCTGCTGGTTAGGCTCAGTCACTGGTGGTACTCAAGTTGCATGAGGTAGGTTCCCAGTGAGTCACCAGGTCGGGGCAAGTTTGATACAGCTTCTACCGATTGACACAGGTTCAAACTTGGTGCCAGAGCTGGGTCTGAGGCCACTCAGCAAATGTCCCAGGGTATGCCAAGTCTAGCTGCCACCCTCAGGGTGCTTGCACACCTTTGTGGTATGGTGGGGTGAGGCCAGCAGTTTATCAGGCCCAAACAGACCACGAGTTGTGAAAGGAGGGCTCTGCACCAGTCAGGGATGCGAGGGAAAGATGGCCCTGTTCTAGAGCCGCACAACTCAGTCTGCCCCAGATTCTGCCAGGAGCCTGATCTCAGGTTAGGTGGAAGGTGGAGGCTAGTGCATCTCTTGTGAGGGGGAGGTGCCAGTCAGCTTCACGGGAAAGTGGGAGGAATGGCCTGTCCCAAAGCCACACAACCCAGTCACGGATACCCTCTGAGTCTGCCTAGACCTCTACACCCTAACCCAGGCAGCTGACTCATCAGCAGAGCTCCACAGGGTGAGGCAAAAGGGAGTCCAGAGGGTGGGGCTATTGCATTCCCCCAGGCTGATGCTGTATGGAGGGGAGTGCCCCACCAAGAAAGATGGAGTAGGCGGGGTGGGAGAGTGACTCAGCACAGGGATCCTGACAGCTGTCCCTTCAGCTCTCTCCTCATGCAATTCTAGTCTATTCCACCCTCTGCCAGAGCCCAGGGTGAATGGCTACAAAGATTTTGTTTGTTGGCCCTTTAATAGGGTGCCTATGTGTCTAGCAGACTCCTCTCTCTCCCTGGCAGACAGAATCCCTGCTGATTTTCACAGCCAGATGTTACGTGGGCGTCTCTTCCTGGCTCTGGTGCTCTGGACAGGGGAGCCTGGCTTGGGGTTGAAGTCCCACTCTTCTTAGGGGGAACCTTTGTAGCTGAGATATCCCTCCAGAATCTTAGTTTCCATGCGTGGGAGCAGGGCCAGCCTTTTTCATGTCTCTCCCCTTCCTACTAGTCTTGATATGGCTTCTGTAAATCCTTGATTATAAGACTTCTCTTCAGCTAGTCTTCAGTTGGTTATTCAGGTTGGTTGCTCTACATCTTAGTTGTAATTCCAGGTCTCCTGGGTGGAGGTAAGTGTAGCTTCCACCTACACCACCATCATCTTGAAAGTCCTCAAACTCTAAGGTATTTGAAGTCGAAGACATTTATCCTGTCTCCAAAAAGAGGCAATGTGGCTTAACAGTTAAGATGCCAGGCTTAGCAGTTGTGATTTCTTGGGTATCAACTTCAGTGCCCTCATCTGAAAATGATAATAGCACCGACCTCATACATTTGTTGAGGCATCATCAGAGAATGCATGTAAAGTTGCCTGGCTCTTAATTATTTGATAATTGCTAACTATCATTTGTACTCCCTACAAGCCTTACTATATATACACGTGGGCTTTCAATGATTGTTGGTAGAGTTTATGCTAATACATCCATGCCTAGTAATACATGGGCGTTGTGTCTGGAGGACTAACGTGATTGTGACCCAGCAGCCCTAAGAAAGGCTTGGACTACCTACCTAGGGCCAGTCCCCCTGCTTTATCACCCAGATCATGCCGTCCAATCCAACCTTCTGCGATGCTGGCCATGAACTAGCATCCGAGCTGTCCAATAACGTAGCCATTACCTACATGTGGTTATTGAGGGCTTGAAATATGACTAGTATATCTAAGCAGCTTATTTCCCTCCCCCCCTTTTTAATTAGTTCAATACCCTCCGATGATTAGCATAACCCTATTCGACAGGGCAGCTCTAGAACTTGCCTCCTGTCAGTCTCTTTAAATCGTGTCCCCTCCTTTTCACCAGCAAAGGAATATTTTCTAAATGAATAAGCAACGCTGATTCAAAGCATCACTTCAACTGGTCCCAACCCCTTTTATTCTTTTTTAAAGATATTTTTTTATTCATTTCCTACTAGTCTTGATATGGCAAATCCTTACAGAGAGGAAGGGAGAGGGTTAGAGAGAGAGAAACATCAATGATGGGAGAAAATCACTGATCGGCTGCCTCCTGTACGCCCCCTACTGGGGATGAGTCTGCAACGCAGGCGTGTGCCCCTAGCGGGACCCTTCAGTGTGCGGACCGATGCTCTACCCACTGCGCGAACCGGCGAGGGCCACCCCTTTTAGTCTTTGGCGAGTGCAGTGTCGGCATTCTGTCGCTTCACTGAGAGCTGGACGGAGGACAGTGTCCCGAGACAAAGTAACTTACACACCAAGTGACATGGAATCACCCAACAGGAAGGCGAACTGCGTCCCCGCCTGGTCTGCGGGGAGGAAGGGAAGGGTAACCGACCGCCCGGACAGGCGTGGCAAACACGTGAGCGGCGCAGGGCGGTCGGGCACGCCTCCGCCGGCCAAGGGGGCGGGAGGCTGGCCGCATGTCTTCCCACGCGGGGCGCCGCCACCCGGGGCGCGCGTGCCAGTCAGCATGGCCTGTTCTGGCCCCCAACCCTGGCGGTGTCCCGGCGTACAAAACGAGAGCCAACCTCCACCCGCTCCCGCAGGAGAATCGTGCCTCCTGCCGTGTCTGCCAGAAACTTCTCCCAACCTTGCCCCGATACCGCACCCCAGCCGCTGGGGGCTCAAGGTCCCCCCTACAAAATGGCGACGGGGCCCGGGAAGAAGCCATAGAGACGCCCGCCCTCCGCGGAGAGAGCGCCGGCCTCTTTGGGACGTCCGCGCCCCGTGAGAGGCTGGAGGGGCTCGCGTTCCGGCGGAGGCGGGGACAGGGTGCACCGCGAAGGGCCCCTCTAGGAGGACAGCAGGCAGTCTCTACGGTGCCGGGTCCTCCGATCCGGTCACGTGGCTGGCGGAAGCCGCCGCAGAGGCGGGGGGAGGAGAAAGGGGCGGGAGGCCGAGGGGATTGCTCCAGACCCGGCGACGACCGGGTTGTCATGGAGCCGCGGGCCAGTGCCGGCGCATGCGCCACCTGACCCGCAGGCTGTGCTTGGAGTGGCGACCCCGACCCCGGCCCGAGGTGAGGAAGCGAGGACGGGGCGCGCGGGGAGAGGGTTTGGGCGGGGAGCGTGGGAGAGGAGGTGAGAGTAGGGGCAAGAAGAAGGGTCGCGAGGTAGGCAAGAGGGAGAATCAGGACTTTAGGGGGTCAGACAGAGGCCCAAATGGTGGGAGCAGAGGGTGTGCGTCCCTCCCCCAGTTCGTTGGTGGGTTTAGTTTTGAGGGGCGGGCCTTGGTGGGAGAGGGAGTCAAGGGCGAGGAGGGGGCGGAGTACCGAGAGGGGGCTGGTGTGGGGTGCCAGTGGGGTGAGACCCTTAGGGCGGGGGGGGCCCGGGTCTAGCCCTCGAGGTGAAAGCTGTGGGCTTCGGGCCGGGGCGAGCTGGAGGCCTCCGGCCAGGCTGTGAACTGAGGGGCAGGGAACGGGCAGGTGAGTGGGTGCGGGAGCTGGTAACCTGGTGAGGGCCTGGGACTCCGGTCTGGGGCTGGAGGTGGCTCCCCGTTCTGGGTCCGGGCACAGGTGCGCCGTCTTTTCTACAAACGTGTTCTGAGTCTTTTGGATGGTGATTTCTCCTGGGAAGGGAATGGACAGGCCTGGTTCCAGGAGTTGACGAGAAGGAAAACATAGGACCCAATGGGTTAGTAGGTTATGTGTTATGGTTATTGGGTTCGTGGGGTTGATATTGGGTATAAATTTATATAGATTAAATTATAAAATTCACCTCAGCGGGAAATTGTGTTTTGTTTTACGACACCTAAGTCTAATTTTCGTTCACCACCATTTATTCCCCCTTAGCTATCTTCTTT